ATCCCCAAGCTTTCCCGGTGCTGCTTAGATGATTCTGATGTGCAGCCAGGATTAAGTCCTAAACTCCAAGTTTATGTGGGAGTCTTCCAGAACCTGATTTGTAGAGATCCTTCTCGAGGACAGGCCTGTTTGGTGCTTCTCACAGCCCTTTTCTACCACTGGATACGAGACCATGGCAGCACTCACTCTGAGGGGCCTGGCCTTAGCCCAGTCCTACCACTCTTAGGCCACAAGGCAGAGGAGGGGGGTGCTGCAAGTCTCTGAGACGGCCCAGTGGGCTCCAGCACAGCTCACAGGTGCACCTGTATTCGAGGATAGAGTGCCGGCCAGGCTGCGGGACAACATTGGGTGAGACAGAGACTCTGGGCCCAGCTGGACTTGCAGAAGGCAGTCCAGCCTGGAACGTGGTTTCATGTCCTGGAAGTCACCAGAATCTAGCCTCAAGGATGGATGCTTTCCTGTTGGATGCAGGATTAGCCGAGACAACCCCATTCGTTTGGACTTATCCTAACTCAGAACTGCTGACGTTTTTGCATTTTGTAAACCTCTGCTAAATCTGGTTCTTCATACTCCCGGTAATTCATCTCCTAGTGACCAAACATTCACCAGAGGTTCTCAGATCTATTGTGGAACTAAGCCGAACCACCACTGACATCCAGTTACAGCAGAGTCTTGAATTGTCCTGTTTCTTGCACAGATAGCCAGAGGGGCTCTGATCTCAGTTCCCCCACCTCCGCTCTCCCTCTGCTGGGACCCAGGACGAAGGGGCAGGTTTGCTGGGTTAGTGATGTTCTGCTTTGGGGTGCTGAGGGAGGAGGCGTGGTCTCCTGCCAGCCGGGCCAGGTAGATGGGCCTCCTGTGTGCCAGCAGCTGGAGTTTTGCTCCCTGGTTCTCACACACCAGGCTAGATCTGGACACAAAAATGAGCAAGAGGTTCTGCCTCCCACAGGGACCCCAGACAAGAGGGCAGAAAAGCAGACAAGTAAAAGGAGAAAAGACAAGGATGAGGACAAGGCACCCCTCAGAGGGTGGAATGGAGTGGGAGCTGCCACCTGAGGCCATCCTGAGAGAGGTGACAGCCAGAGTCTGCCAGGAAAGGAACAGGTAGGAGCCCCAGGCAGACAACAGCATGAACAAAGCCATGGGGCACAGAGTGTGGGTTGGCGGGCAGGAGGCCGCCAAAGTCAGGATCAAGGTCACCTGGGTCTCTTCTGTGGTCCTGACTCACCTGGGCCCATAAAGCTGCACTCCGGCGTAATTTGGATGAAGTCTTAGGAACTCAGGACAAGTTTATAGCCAAAATCATTTTTTTTATTGACTGATTTAGAAAAAAAAAATAAAGTTTTGTTTTTTTTTTAACTGGGCTAATTACATCTGAGGAGCTGGAGAGAGCTGCCGTATCAGGTTTACATTGGTGCAGATTTCTCAACACCAGCCCTCCTGTGTTTCGAGAAGTCTAAGATAATGTTGATTAGAAGACATTGCTTTAGGTACTATTAAGAAAGAGAAAGGGCTGGGGCACCCAGGTGGCTCAGTTGGTTGAGCATCCGACTTCGGCTCAGGTCATGATCTCACAGTTCGTGAGTTCGAGCCCCATGTCAGGCTCTGTGCTGACAGCTTGGAGCCTGGGTCCTGCTTCAGATTCTGTGTCTCCCTCTCTTTCTGCCCCATTCCCCACTCATGCCCTGTCTCTCTGTCTCTGTCTTAAAAATAAATAAAAGAGAAAGGGCTGCAAATTTTAAGATACCACTGATTACAAGATGTCCTGTTATAGGCACTTTCCTCTGCACAAGACTTGTGGGTGTGCAGTGCCGTGAGCACAGACTGGTTCCTCAAACACCAGTCTTGTGCACCCTCCCCAGAGCAGGTGCTAGTGGTGGCGGGGTAAGGCCTAGGGAAGTTGAGGTAACTTTGCTCAAGGGCAACATAATTAGCAGGAAGCAATGGCCCAGGTGCCCCACAGGCTGAGAGCTCTTCCCTGGGAGAGGGGCAGGCTCTCTTGTGCCTGGTCGCAGACTCCCAGGCACATTTACTCCATCACTGACTAACAGGGTCCCCTGGGAGCTGCCTGTCCACCTTCTCTGAGTAGCTCTCCACCTCACCAAGCTTGGCTCCAAGGATATCAGTGCCCAGTAGCCCCGTGGCAAATCCCAGGGCCCCTCAGACCCTGATGTCTCCAGGAATGGGCAGGGCAAACTTAGACTTAGCGTTCCGAGCCCCAGGTCACTAGGCAAGGCCTAAGTATTGTAAAAACTAGAATCACAAGAGCAGCTCTGACTTCAGTGTGTGAAGGAGAACCCCTCGTGGAATTGAACATCACCTAAGAAAGGATTAGGGGAGATTTCTGGGAAAATCACTTGGCTCCAGCACAACCTCTCCTGTCCCTGCACCTGAGAGGTGACAGTCTTCTGACATTGCCCAGGCAGCTGCGGTGGGGGTGGGTGCAGTTACTGAGTACACCCACCAGTGGGGTCCTGTCTGAGGCAACCTCGTGCTCAGATTCTGTTACACCCTGTCTTCAGACTGGTCTGTTTGCAAAAGTTTAAACACTTTTAGCAAGGGGGCACCTGGGTGACGCAGTGGACTGAACATCCAACTCTTGATTTCGGCTCAGGTCATGACCTCACAGTTTGTGGGCTCCAGCACCACCCCCCCCCCGCCCCGCATTGGGCTCCGTGCTGACAGGGAGGAGCCTGCTTGGGATTCTCTCTCTCTCTCCCCTTCTCTCTCTCTGCTCCTCTCCTGCTTGTGCTCCCCCCCTCCTCTAAAATATAGAAAAATGAAAATAAACACTTGTGGCAAATGCTAGTTGCAATTTCACAGCATCTTAGGTCAGGGGGATATAATTTTCCTGATTACTAAGCAGTTATTAATCTATTTTGGATCCTGCATCCTTTTGAAAGTCTGTTGAACTCTTTCCCCAGAAAAAAAAAGCACACACATAATTATCTGGAATTCAGTGATTAAATCTTTGGACAATGGAAAGACCCAACAAGGTCAAGAATCTTTGCTTAGTAGGAGCCACTAGGGATAACTTTCATTTCAGATTTCAGGAAGAGATTGAATCAATTTTTAAGGGAAATGGTTGATATTCAAAAATTCTAAGCAAGGTTTCCAATGTCTGAACTTTGGACCCATGATGATCCTGGCTGATATTCTTACTGTGCTGGAGAAGCTACTGGGTAGTTCCCCAGCTTTACGGGAAGAAAGTAAGAAGAGGTTTTAGTATTTCCAGGTGAACCAACCCCTTACAATTTGTGTTAATGATCCTGAAGAGATGAGTTTCTAGTGCCTGAAGGTTAGAGGGTTCTGAGTTTCAGAAGGGAAAAGGTTTTCCTAAATTTATAATGATATATTTTTTTAATGTTTTTATTTATTTTTAAGAGAGAGAGAGCAAGTGGGGGAGGGGCAGAGAAAGAGGGAGACACAGAACTCGAAGCAGGCTCCAGGCTCCAAGCTGTCAGCACAGAGCTCAACGGGGGGGGGCTTGAACTCATGAACCTTGAGACCATAACCTGAGCTGAAGTGGGATGTTTAACCAACTGAGTCCCCCAAGTGCCCCGGTTTTCCTAAATTAGCAAGAGGTCATGTTTTCAGCTTCCATCTGGTGCATCCAGAGCCAGGCTCCCAGGACCCAGGCACAGCACTGAACATCAGGGGAGCAGCAGCCTGGACGTCCTGGAAATACAGAAAAGGGCTTTGGGAAAGCGGTCCGGTCCAGAGGGCGCCCCCTTGTGGAGTCTGGCAAAGGAGAACAGGGAACACACGGAGGAGCTCCTGGTCACCACTGGGGGCCCAGTTCTTCCCCAAAGTCACAACTTATGGAGGGGAGGAAGCCCCAGAGCCTAAGCAGCAGACCCCCAGAGCTGGTGAGGGAGCGGGGCTGGGTTCCAGGGATCCTGAGGTGCCCCGGCTTCAGGGAGGGCCAACGCTGGCAAGGATCAGGCTGAAGCATCCATGGTGGAGGGGCTCAAGGTGACGTCGGGGAGGGAGCCTGGCCCACAGACAGGAAGCCAGATGAAGGGCAGACGCCAGGGTCTGGCTTGGGTCAGCCTGGCAGCTGCAGGGTCCAGGGGTGATGACCCTGAGCAGGGTCCCATCAGGTCAGCCCCTCTCCCCACCCAGGTGTGTGGGACAGGGCTTCACTGCTCTAGGCCTCCCTTCGTAGCCTAGAAAGTGGGACCTTGATGGCCACACCCAGCGTGGCTGTGAAGACTTTTATTTCTGTGCTCCTGGTAACAGCCTGAGGGCAGACCTCTGTGTAAAGACAGGGGACAGCAGGGCAGCTGTAGGACACTTCTCTCAGGTGTCCCTCCCCCCCCCCCCCCCCATTGCAGATGCTCTGTGTGCAACCTCCTTAGACGCCGTGATCCTCTTTGAGGAAACAGAGGAACCTGCCTGTCACTATCACATGCACGTTCATTCACTCCACTCTTTTAACAAACATTTATTAAGCGCCTACAGTGCGCAGGGCCCTGTGCCAGGCCCTGGGGGTACAGAGTCGGGTCACACACAGCCCCATCCCCAAGGAACTCACAGTCTGGGGCGGGGCAGACACGGCTGCAGGAGGTGGAGGGAGCCAGGGGGGACTCTCCATGGGGGTCAGTCGGGACCAGCAGGTCACGGAGGAAGGGCCTGCCTCCACTTCCTCAGGGCGGCATCCAGCAACCCCCCCTCCTCACCCCCACCCCGTACCGGCTGGGCTGCAGGGGTACTACCCCCCACCCCAGGGACGAAGGAAAGGGAGCCAGAGCACAGGGGCCTGGAAAGGAGCTGCACACGGAACAAACTCCTGCTGTGTGTGCATGCCCTGCCCCAGGGCCCCTTGGCTCCCGAGAGCATCTCTGAGCAGGTCTGTGCGGTCACCTCCCTCTCAACACTGTTTAGGGAACCCCAGCCCCCTCCCCCCAGGCTCTTGCCCTTCTCCCTTCTCATGGGGTCAGGTGCCGGGCACAGCCCCCACAGGCACACCACCTTCAGAACAGGCCCCCTCCTAACACTCAGAGCCGCCTCACCAGCTCAATGAGCTGCTGGATGTTTTTGTTCTGGTTGGACAGGCCGTTCCTGATGTTTTCCAGCAGACACCTCTTTAACTCAAAAATGGCCTCACTGTACCCCAAGCTCACCGCAGCCATGGGAGGCACCCCATGCCACAGGCCAGGGATGTGCCAAACATGCTGCTTCTCAGGGTCGCAAAAGGCCAGGTCGGCCAGCGTCCGGATGCCGTCGCCCTGCTTCTCCATCTGTGCGCCGGCTCTGCTCACGTCTCCAGGGGGATCCAGGAGCGGCCTCCTGTCCCGAGGCCTGGGGCCAGGGACACACGCATCCTGGAGGTTCTGGTACACAAACTGATAGTTGGGCACGTGCCCCGTTTTCTCCAACCTCAGAAACGCGTGCAGAACAGCTGGTGGTATGTCCCTCGTCTCGGCCAGGCTCACCACAGTGACGTTGCTCAGCCCCATAAGCAGAGTGGCCAGGGAGGCCTCCAGCTCGAACCTCTCCCCGGCTGCGGTCAGGGCCCCGCCTATCAAGCCCCCGGAGTCTATCACCAGGATGTGGTCGCAGCCCAGATCCTGGCTGAAGTTCTCAGCCACGGTGACCAGCTGCATGAAGGCCCCTCGAGGGCCACACCCCCGCCCCGTGGCAAAGCGCAGCCCAAACATGGTGTTGAGAAGCGTGGACTTCCCAGTGCCCGGTGCACCCAGTGCCGACAGGACCACCAGGCGCGACCTCCTCTCCAGGCGAACGTGCAGTTCCTTCAGGAGCCCCGTGACCCAGTGCAGGGGGGTACTCAGCGTGCTGCCGTCGATCAGCTCCAAGGGCAGCCCCTTCAGCAGCAGCTCCAGGGCCAGGCCCGGGAAGTGGGCAAACCGCCTCTGGCCGGCCGGCAGCTTCCCTGCCTCCACCAGGCAGCTTTCTGCCTCGTAAAACTGTCCCATCTCCCGCAGGAAGTGCTCTACACCCAGGGGCTCAGGCCAGAGCAGCTCCCCGAAGTCCACCATGCCACAGTGCTTGGGTCTCAGGCTAAGAATGGTCTCGGGAGGCTGCCGCGGCCTTGGCTGGGCCATGCGGGCCAGTCCCCACTCCATCCACCTCAGGAAGTACTGCTTCTCAGCCAGTGAGGCGCTGCTGATGCCTGCGATGAACTCCTGCAGCCCCCAGGCAGGGTCCTGGCGGTTCTGCTGTGCACGAAGTTCTAGCAGCCGGTGCCCCAGCTCCGCCCTGCCCTTGTCAGGAGGGTCCCCTGCCCTCTGGGCCTGGCACAGCTCCTTCTCCACCTGGGCCGCCTTCCGCCAGGGGTCCCCCTGCAGCCACAGCTCGTCCCTGCGGTAGGCGTCACAGTCCTTGATCCTCCTGGTGATGCGCTCCATACGCTGCTTTGCCTGCTGACACTCGTCACAGTCCTCGTCCACCCTCAGCCCCAGCTTACGGGCCGCGTGCGCCATCTCCTCCACAGACAACCTCCTGCAGGGGGACCGGGCCACGTGCGCCACGATGGAGCGGACCCTGCGCACGAAGCCTGCGCTGTCGGTGCTGCTGACCTTCACCAGCACGTGTGAGTGGTCCATCTTCAGCACCGGGATGAGCTTGTTCAGGAACCTGAGGTTTGTGTTCCGCTTCCCACGGTAGGGGCTCAGAATGAAATAGTACTTGGTGGCCGAGCCCCTCAGGGAGTAGAGCAGCTTGTAGTCCTTCCTGCTGATGTTGTCGGTCAGGATGAACACGGCGGACGAGATCTCGGTCAAGAGCTTGAACTGCAGCCAGTGAGACCCGATGTCGCCCCGCAGGTTCAGAAAGGCCACGGGCTCTGGGAACACATCCAGGTCCTCCCTGCCGCTGGGGAGGAACCAGGAGACTTCCACCAGCCCATCTGCGATCTCCCGGGGGTTGGTGCCCACACTCAGGTCGCGATGCCAGAAGCAGTCCCGTGGCCGGTGGCTGGGGCTGAGCACAGCGTTGAGAAGCTGTGACTTGGAGTTGCTGCTGACCTCCATGCGCACGAAGGCGAAGGTGGGAGCCCGGGACAGCACCGCGCTATCCTCTCGGAGGCCGCCCACGCCCCGCGGGGGCTGCGCCCACCACGTCCGCACCACGGCCCTCAGGGCCCACAGCAGAAACGTGTGGTAGTGGTTCTCCGAGTCAGGCAAGACGAGAGGGAGTGCAAACTGGCACAGGGACATTTTCAGCACAATTTCCTGCTGCAGGAAACCATCTGAGGAGAGCAGAAGGGCACAGAGAAGGTCCAAGGGGTTCACAGGCGTGTCGGGCGTCGGCAGCTCTGAGAAGGAATAGATGTCCGCGGAGATGTCGTCAGCCGCGTCCCAGTAGATGATCTCCTCTTCCATCTGGCTCTCCTTCTCCATGGGCCTGGCGTCCAGGGGCACATCCAGCACCATGGTGGTGTTCCTGGCCTCAGCGTTGAGGGCCTGCAGCTTCCTGAGGAAATTCCAGGGCAGGTCTTTGGGGGCCTGAGGGGCCCAGTTTCTCATGCTGTCGCTGCTGATCTGCAGGGCGTCCTGGAGGCTGAGCTTCTGGGCCTGGTAGGTCTCCAGCCCCAGCAGCGACAGCATCTCCTGCAGCCTGCTCCTCTCCGCTGTGGGGGGGTGGGGGGAGAAGACGTCAGGGCTCACCCCACGCATCAGGGGCCCCGGTTACAGGTGGGATGGGGGACGGCCTCCCAAGGCCTGCCTGAGATCAAACTCACACCACCCCCAGACCCAAACACCACCAGACACGTTGGACATTAGAGAGAAGACACCAAGGGGCCACGTTTAAGAACTGGGAGAGTCCAGTCTACACGTCTGGTTTCTCCTGAAACCCATAAGACCCAGCCACACTGGGGCCCCAATTTAACCATGTAGAGTGCACAGCCATGCACCCACACATGGGACGCAGGACCCCTTCTCTGACCACACCCCCACCCCTGCCAAGTGACCCCGTGGACTTTCCCCACATTCTGGGCCAGAAGCGGGGTCCCTGCACACTGTCACCAGGAATTTCCCACAAGCGACACAATCACTGAGTCACTCGGATTTTCCAGGTTACATTCTTTTCTTTTTACAAACAACTTGGAGGATTTTTAAAGGGAAAAGGAAGCTATCACTAGATAGAGAGTCACAGAAATCATAGCTAGCAACCAGTTTTGTGACTCTGAAGCCAATAATGTGGTTTTAATGTTACGGGGGTAAAATATTTGGTAGAGATTACCAGAAGTCTGCACTTACTTGTCCAGATCCCCAAATACCACCCAACACAGTACGAACTCTTAGCAAGCACTACACTCAGCACAGTAACTCCTCGAAAGGTTTCACCCACTGCCCCTGTTCTTGGGTGTGGCATCTGGCCAATTTCCATACTGCATAGGATTAGTATGCTGTCATGGTCCAATAAACGAACAATTAAAAAATGCAAATCCTACTGAGCTGCAGGCTTTTTTCCACTCCTTTCTCAAAAGAGAAAGCCTATGAAGTTACCCACATGTTCATATAAACCCTGAGAGGAGGCACAGCCCTGGTCCGGGGCCCTCCTGGGTGACCAGCAGGACTCAGCCCTGGGACACAGGTGTCTCCTCCCCTGCAGGGGCCGCCTCTCTTCAGAACCTGCCCTGCGTTGGGAGGGGGTGGGGGTGCAGTGTGGCTGCAGTAACACAGGGCTGGTGAACTTGCTGCAGAAACAAAAGAGATGCATGGGGTCACACAGGAATAGAAAAGGTGCTGCTCAGGTCTCTTGAGTTTTGCCTGAATGAAACCAGGGACGTGGTTTTTCTTACCCAGACATGGAACAACGGTTTTTGTCTTTTAAGTAGCATGGTGGTGATGGGCAATGGGGAAAAGCCAGAACAAGAAACCTCACAGGTATCCATGCCTAGTGTGTGGCCCTTGGTGGGAGTGTCACAGAAACCACTGGAACACCCAGAGGGTCCCCCCGGATCCCACTGCACTTTAGAACCACTGTTGGAGCAGGGGGTGCCTGGGGGGAGGGGGTCAGTCAGTTGAGGGTCTGACTTCGGCTCGGGTCATGATCTTGCGGTTCATGGGTTCGAGCCCCGCATCAGGCTCTGTGCTGACAGCTCGGAGCCTAGATCCTGCTTCGGATTCTGTGTCTCCCTCTCTCTCTGCCCCTCCCCTGCTCACGCTCTGACTCTGTCTCAAAAATAAATAAACATTAAAAAAAAATTTAGAACCACTGTGGGGACTCGTCACAAGTAAGATTCCTGCACTTGCAGCTTCCCCTGCCAAGACGCTAGTGTCCATCACTGTCCCGGTTAGTGGTGGCACTGAGGACTAAGGGGCTAGCAGAGACTCTGACACAGGAGCTGTCCTCCCTTGACAGGACAGGGGTGAGAGCAGAGAAAACACGTACCTGTTGGGAAGTCACTGTCCTGAGCCTCATTTGTACCGTCTAAAAAAGCAAAGGAAAATGAGGTGTCAATCAAATCAGCACCTTAGACTGACACAAATTAATTTAGGCTAAACCCAGAACCTTCCTTCTTCTCACTAAGACAGCAAGTTCTCCCCAGTGTTCACAATGTAAAATCCCGGTGAGTTCTCAGTCTACTCACCCGCCCCCTTTCCCCAGACTGGTCCACCCCAAACCCTGCTGTCTCCTCCCACATGAGACTCACAGTCATCTGCTTCCATTTCTCTCCATTCCAGATCTGGAAGAAAACACACACATGAGGACTTTCATCAGCAAGTTAGGACCTTTCTACCAAAAAGTCTCAGTGAGAATGTGGGGGCTCCTGTTTATTATTAGTGCTTTTAACTTCAGCTTTTCCTGTGTACATTTTTTCCAGCCCCAAATATGACACAAAGTAGTAACAGCTACATATGAAACACTGATTTGCTCTAGAACATGTATCTTGAAGAATTTACTTCAAGTTTCCAAAAATAAAATATAAATAAGTTCATGAAACTTATAGATTAATCTTTGATGTTAGAAACTATTTAAAACATAAGTCAATGCAAATTCCTTGGTTCAATTTCAAGATGACCTCCTACAGACATCATTTTTATTCTATCATAGAGCTTTTGAAATCCCTGGAAATGAGGCATCTCTCCTGGGGAAGGGCCATGACTTCTACGTCCACAGTTATCTGTCCAAACTCTAGCATCAGGGTATGTCCATTGACACTAACACTTTACTACAGGGTGTATTTAAGTTAGTGCCATTCAGATGTACAAAGACTTCAAAACCCTACAGCCCTGACTGCAAACATGGGACAGTGGGAGCAAGACTTCAGTGTGTACTTTTTTATTGTTCCGGCTTTTGATCCAAGTAAAAGTACCATCTAATCCAAAATTAAAATTATATTTTTTAAAGATTATGAATCAAGAAAAGATTCTGATATTTTCAGATTAACTCCTCTCATGATTTCCATATCAGGAGGCAGATAAACATGACCTTTCAGTCTTCTTTGATGGCATTTCTGGAAACAGATGTGAAGAGCAGGGAAGAGAAACAGGAAAGTGGTTGGAGAAATCACAAGAGCATGGAGGACAGATGAGTCACACACATCAAACCACTGTGTTGAGCCATCAAAAGATCAGTTTATTCAAAGTGGAGAAAAAACATCAGAAGGATTTTTTCCAAGGAATCCAAAATGCCCTCTGAGAAAATATGAGTTATAGGAGATGATGGGACAGAGAGGAGCCCGGGCCTGGCTCCAGGTAGCTCTGAGAGCAGTTGTGAGCAGGAATCACAGGGTAAACCTCAGACTCACAGAAGCCAGGGCCTCCTTTTGGTAGGGATGGGACACAGCTCTGATGCGCACAGGGCAGATTACAGGTGGGTGACGTCAAGGAGGCACAAAGTGGCCAAAGGGTCAGCCTATCAAACTGCAGGAACCACCGTGGGGCAGGGGACCCTAGACGTCCGTAGGCCAAGATCGCTGGGAGCCCAGATAGGCACCAGTCAGCAGCAGACGTGGGGGCCAGCAAGGGCTTGCTCCTGGGGGGGCCAAGCTCTTCACTATAGTTCCTGCTGGACAGGCCCAGGCTCCGACCCCCGGGGGTGCCAGGCTGACAGGGACAGAGTGCTGGCCGGGTGCTCCCACTGAAATGATAGGTCAGTGGGGGGATTAGAACGACTCTCACCCACGAAACTGAATTACTTTTCCCCAGTTATTATGGCATCCAGTACTCACTCCACAGAGCTTTCACCGTGTTTTGGAGTGCTTGCTACTGGACATTCCGTGGACATTGAAGACACCGCTTCACACCTTGGGGCTATTAGTGTATATGAAGGAGAATGAAGTTGAACTCCCACCTCACACCCTGTACAAAGATGAACTCTATAAGACCTAAATATAAGAGTGAAAAGGAGTAAATCTTTGTAACCTTGGATCTGCCAATGGATCCTTAGCTGTCATGCCCAAAGCACAGGCAACAACAGAAAAAAAAAAAAAAAAACAGACAGGACTGCATGAAGATAAAAATTTCATGTGCATCAAAGAGCACTGTGAACAAAGTGGAAAGACAACCTACAGAATAGGGGAAAACACGTGCAAATCATATGCGATTCGGGTCCAGTTTCTAGGATACATAAACGACTCTCGCAAATTCAAACAAAAAAGAAAAAACCCCATTCAAAGGATGGGGTACCTGGGTGCCTCAGTTAGTTAAACGTCCGACTCTTCGGGTACCTGGGTGGCTCAGTTGGTTAAGCGTCCAACTTCAGCTCAGGTCATGATCTCGCAGTTTGTGAGTTCGAGCCCCATGTCAAGCTCTGTGCTGACAGCTTGGAGCCTGGACCCTGCTTCAGATTCTGTGTTTCCCTCTCTCTCTGCCCCTCCCCCACTTGTGCTCTGTCTCTGTCTACCAAAAACAAATAAATGTAAAAAAAAAAAAAAAAAGTTTGACTCTTGACTTTGGCTCAGGTCATGATCACATGGTTCAAGTTCGAGCCCCACATGGCGCTCTGCACTGACAGTGTGGAGCCTGCGTGGGATTCTCCCTCTCCCTCTCTGCCCCTCCCCTGCTCTCAAAATAATTTCTCCTTTCTTATTGTGTTTAAATATATATAACATGGGGCACCTGGGTGACTCATCCGGTTGAGCGTCAGACTTCAGCTCAGGCCATAATCTCATGGTTCATGAGTTCAAGCCCCACATCCGTCTCTCTGCTGTCAGCACAGGGCCTGCTTCAGATCCTCTGTTCCCCTCTCTCTGCCCCTCCCTAGCTCATGCTCTCCTTTTCAAAAATAATTTTAAAAACATTTTTAAAAAAAATACACATAACAGGGGCACCTAGGTGGCTCAGTTGGTTAAGCATCTGAATCTGATTTTGGCTCAGGTTGTGATCTCACAGTTCTTGGGTTTGAGCCCTGCATTGGGCTCTGTGCTGACAGCTCAGAGCTGGAGACTGCTTTGGATTGTGTGTCTTCCTGTCTCTCTGCCCCTACCTCACTCATTCTTGCTCTCTCTCAAAAATAAACATTAAAAAGGGGCGCCTGGGTGGCGCAGTCGGTTAAGCGTCCGACTTCAGCCAGGTCACGATCTTGCGGTCCGTGAGTTCGAGCCCCACGTCGGGCTCTGGGCTGATGGCTCAGAGCCTGGAGCCTGCTTCCCATTCTGTGTCTCCCTCTCTCTCTGCCCCTTCCCCGTTCATGCTCTGTCTCTCTCTGTCCCAAAAATAAATAAAAAACGTTGAAAAAAAATTAAAAAAAAAAATAAAATAAACATTAAAAAAATACACATAACAGAAAATTTACTACCTTGCACATTTGTGGGTGTACAGCCGAGTGGTGTTGAATCAGTTCATTCACTGTTGTGCAGCCATCTACCACCCGCATTGTGAATACGGAGTCCTAATCCTACTAGACAGTAACTCCCATTCTCCCCAACCCAGTCCCTGTAAACCGGTTCTGGTCTCTGCGACTCTGAGTGCCTCACATACACAGAATCACACAGCGTTTGTCTTTTTGTGACTGGCTTATTTCATTTGGCATGATGTCTTCATGGTCCATCCATGCTAAATCATATGGTGGGATTTTCTTCCTTTTTAAGGCTGAATCACATTCCATTGTGCAGATGGACCACATTTGGGAAATCTCTCCAGGAGGTGATGGACACTTGGGTCACCTTCATGTTTTAGCTGTCGTGATGACGCTATTGATATAGGTGCATAAAGATCTCCTGCAGACCTTGCTTTCAATTCTTTGGGCCCCGCCCAGAAATGGAACTGCTAGGCCATATGGCATTTCTATATTTAATTTTTTGCGGAAGCTCCACCCAGTTTTCCCCAGCAGCCACACCATTCACACTCCCACGTCCATTTCTGATTTTAGTGATAGGAGTATTTTCTCCTTTTTTCTTAGTCAATGTAGCTAAAAGTTTGTCAGTGTTGTTGCTCTTATCCAAGAATTCATTTCTGGTTTCATTGATTTTCTGCACCATTTTTCTAATCTCTGTTTTACTAATCCCTGCTCCAATCTTTAGTATTTTCTTCCTCCTGCTAGCTGCGGGTTTCACTTGTTCTTCTTTTTCTGGTTCCTTAAGTTGTAAAATTATGTTGTTGATTTGAGATGTTTATTTCTTTAAATTTTTTTAATGTTTATTTTTTTGAGCGAGCAAGTGTGCATGAGTTGGGGAGGGGCAGAGAGAGAGGAAGACACAGAATCCGAAGCAGGCTACAGGCTCCAAGCTGTTAGCACAGAGCCCGACACAGGGCTCAAACCCTCGAACCAAGAGATCATGACCTGAGCCAAAGTCAGACACTTAACTGACTGAACCACCCAGGTGCCCCAGATGTTTTTTTTTTTAAGTTTATTTATTTTGAGAGAGACAGAGACAGAGTGAGTGGCGGAGGGGCAGACAGAGGGAGACAGAATCCCAAGCACACTCTGCACTGTCAGCACAGAGCTCGACACAAGGCTCAAACTCATGAGCCATGAGATCAAGACCTGAGCTGAAACCAAGAGTTGGACACTTAACCGACTGAGCCACCCAGGAGCCCCACACGTTTCTTATTTTTAATGTAAGTTCTTATAGCTCTAAATTTTCCCTCTTAACACTGTTTTTGCTGCATCCTACATGTTTGGGTGTTTTGTGTTTTTGCTTTCATTTGTCTCTAAGTATTTTCTAACTTTCTTGAGATTTCTACCTTGAAACCCTGGTTGAAAGTGTGTTTAGTGTCCACAATTTTTACAATTATTCAGTTTTAGGTTTTATTGATTTATAACTACATCCCATCGTGCTCACTTTACAATATCTATCTTGTAAAATCTCTGTAGACTTGACTTGTGGATGTACACTTTAGAAGAACGTGTGTGTCATGTTGCTGGGTTAAGTGTTCTCTATGTTTGTTAGATGTGGAAAGTTTACTGTGCTCTTTAAATCCTCTATTTCTTTTCTTGTCTTCTGTCTGGTTGTTCTATCTATTATTATGAGTGGGGTATTAATGTTCCCAGCTCATAGTGTAGAGCTATTTCTCCTTTCTATTCTATCAGCTCTTGTTTCAAATATTTTGATGGGCTGTCATTAGGTGTGTACATGTTTATAATTATTGTATCTTCTTGCTGTATTGAGTCTTCTATTAACATACAATGCCCTTGTTTGTCTCTTGCAACCTTTTTTATGTGGAATCTATTTTGTCTGATATTAGTATAGCCACTCCTACTATCCACTGGTTATTATCTGCATGGAATATCTTTCTTCATCCTGTCACTTTCAACTTCTTTTTACCTTTGGATCTCAAGTGAGTCTCCTGTAGACAGCATATAGTTGGGCCAATCTCTGTCTTTTCATTGAAGAGTTTAATGCCTTTATACTTAAAGTAACCACTGACAAGGAGGCACTTACTTCTGTCATTTTGCTCTTTGTTTTCTATATGACCTATATACGTCCAAAAACTTTGCCCCTTTACATTCTACCCCCACCTCTTTTGGTTGTTGATATGACAAAAGCACATCTTTATACACTGAGTGTCCCAGAACATAAACTACTAATTCTTTCAAATGCATTAGTCTCATAAGTTATGCAGGAAATAAGATTTGGAGTTAAAAACCAAAGTTACAGTAATATTACTATTACATTTTTTTCTTTAAAATGTATTAGTCTTATATAGAAAACAAGAAGTAAGCTACAAACCATTGTTAGAATTGTTACATTAGCTATTATAATTGCCCATTTACCTTTATTTAGATCTTTACATCTCAATATATCAGTAATACAGTCACTGTTTAGTGTCCTTTCTTTTCACCTGTAAAATTCCCTGGTGCATTTCCTCTAGGGCAGGTGTAAGGTCACCAACTCCCTCAGCTTCTCTTTACCTGGGAATATTTGTTTCTCCTTCACTTTTTTAAAAAGTAGGCTTCATGCCCAGCACGGAGCCCCATATGGGGCTTGAACTTATGACCTTGAGATTAAGACCTGAGCTGAGATCAAGAGTTAGAAGCTTAACTGAATGAGCCACCCAGGCATCCCTCTCCTTCACTTTTGAAGGACAGATTTTCTGGGTATAGGATTCTTAGCTCATAGGTTTTTTTGTTTGCTTAGCACTTTATTTTTATTTTTTTAGCACTTTAAATATATATTCCCACTGTCTTCTGGTTTCCAAAGTTTCTGATGAGGAATCTAGAGATGATCTTGGAGGATCCTGTGTATGTGATGATCTGCCTCTCTGTTGCTGCCTTCAAGACTCACTCCTTCTCTTGTTGAAGTTTAATTGTAACGTGTCTTGGTGTGGGTCTCTTAAAATTCATCTTACCTGGACTTTGTTGAGTTTCTTGGATTTTATATGCATGTCTTTTTAGGAAGTTCTCAGCCATTATTTCTTCAAATATTCTCTCTGCCCCTCTCTCTCTCTCCCCCCTCCTTCTGGGAGGCCCACAATGAGTACCTACTGATGGTGTCCTATGGACATCTTAGGTTCTGTATGCTTTTCTTCAATCTTTCTGTCTCTGGTCCTCAGCTTCCATAAGTTCCATTGTCCTATCTTTAAGTTCACGGATTCTTTCTTCCATCTGCTTCCATCTGCCTCTGAATTCCACAAGTGAAGTTTTCATTCTGGTTACTGTTCTTTTCAGCTCCAGAATTTCCTTTGGTTTCTTATTCTAGCTCTTTATTGATATTACTGTTTAGTTCACATATCATGTTCTTGACTTTCTCCACATTTTCCTTCAGATTTCTGAGCATCTTTAGGATCATTGTCTTAAAGTCTTCGCCTAATACATCTGCCCTCAATCTTTTCAGTGCCCGCTTTTGTTCAATTTGTTTTTCTTTGAATGGGTCATATTTCCCTGTTTATTTGTGTGCCTTGTGATTGCTTTATTGAACACTGGACATTTGAATCTAATAATGTGGTAACTCTGGAAATCAGATACCCCCACCTTCCCCAGGGTTTGCTGCTCTTTGTTATTATTTGTTGGGTTGTGTAGGTGAGCTCTGTGCTCAGGAGCAAACTGAGGTGTGAAATTTAGGCCCTCTGAGGTGTTTTCTGAAATCTTCTTTGGGAATGCCCACCCACTATCTAATTTCCCCACATATGCAATTGCTTTTGAATGTTCTAGTGTCTAATGTCTGGCTCCCAGAAGGGGAAAGGGCAAAAAATTAATGGGAGGAAGGGTGCTGGTCTTGAAATCCCCTGGAAGTCACTTCAGCTGGAGGAGGAGGGGCTTGCAACAATAAGGAAGGGGCAGCAACACCAACGGCCACCCTGTGTCTGCACCTCTGTGATCAGAAGCAGTAAGCAGCAGAGCGGAGATCCCCGGTATTTGGGCAGGGTTCTTTCTGCCCACTCCAGCTGGTTCCCGCCAGCCGTGTGCAAGCTGCTGCAGGACTGTGTGCACAGCAGCCTGCATCTGTCTAGGAATGGGAGGCAGGGAGCTGCTACTGTGCTGAGAGACGTAGCTTTTACCAAAGTAACTACAGATTTACTACCCAAGCCTCCCCCTGAAGTGGCAAATCTCCACCTGACTCCAGAGTTACACAGCAGTTAGTGGCCAGATCCACCAGTACAAGTGCTGCGCAGGTTGGGAGACAGATTCCTGGCGTTTCCTATTCTGCCACCTTCCCAGAATGAGAAGAGTTTAAAGAGTTTTCTTAAATTTCTTTTAAAGAGTGAGCTAAAGGGGCACCTGGGTGACTCAGTCGGTTGAGCATCTGACTCTTGATTTTGGCTCGGGTCATGATCTTACAGTTTGTGAGTTCGTGCCCCATATTGGGCTCTGTGCTGACAGGACGGAGCCTGCTTGGGATTCTCTCTCTCCCTCTCTCTCTGCCCCTCCCCTTTTCTCTTTCTCTCTCTTAAATAAACATTTTTTACAAAAATAAATTTAAAAAATAAGGAATGAGCTATGAAGTAATTAACACCCTCAGATGGAAATGAGGTAAATAAACTCTGTAAGAGGATTATATATAAAACGAATCCATGCTTTTAAAAATCGGGAGTGTGAGTATCCCTGGAAGAGGCAGGGTGGGAGGAGACTACTGGGAAACTGACGTGTTTGTCTTCTTTGTCTGGATGCTGCTTAAGATAGGTCTGTTCATGTTTGTGAAAATTTCTCCAGTTACACACTGGGAATGTGGGCACTTCTTCAGGTGTACATCACACTTCAATACAACTTCCCTCTTAATCCTATAGGTTGAAGAGTTTGCTTTTAAGTCTTATTAATGAAACAGGCTGAAGAGGAAATCACATACCTCAAGAAGAAAATTTCTTAAAATAATTACTAGAGGCTTATTCATTGGAGAGATAATAAAGATGGGACGTAGGAAGGTAGCAGAGTGTCTCTGAGCATTGGTTTCCTCAATGAAACAAAGGACCAATAGTGACTAACCACCTGGCTCACAACAGGCATCCAGTGGGGGGATTCCCTCCCCCAATCACCCCATGCTGCCTCCCAGTCTCTCTAGAGCAACTCTCGTTCTGACAGAAATCCCTGTGGTCAAGGAAATGTTCTAAGTCTGCATGTCCAACAAGCACCTGAAATATACCTGGTGTGACCAAGGTAGACGTTGTGTGCCTAATGGCTACGGTACCGAACAGCACATTCTAGATCTTGAGAAGGTGTAAGGCTTTGGCCAATTTCTACTTGATCCCAACTTTGCTGTGAGGCCTGACCTGGCCTTTACTTCCCCCAGTGCCTACCTTCTAGAACAGAAGCTCCATGGGACGTGGGCCACTGCATTCACTACTATTTACTATATTCACAGTGCCTACTCCAGTGCCCGCACACGGTAAGTGGTCAACAAATATTTGTTTGGATGAATAAAATAAAACAGAATTTGATTAATCCAGACTTCTTTACATATTTTTGTGGGGTTATCTTTGCATACCACTCTGATATCCAATAGGACATATTTATTTCGAGAAGCACTGAATTAGCAATAGATCCAACATGGATTTCTAAGAGAAAAGGTGTCTGATGTGTGGCCACCATACCTCAAAGCTGAAGCCACGAGAGGCAGTCCCAGACCCAGCCCCCAAACCCACTGAGGAAGAGACCCAGCCCGTGTGAACCACAGCCAGGAAGACCACGGATCGGTCTGCTTGGGACAGTTCTGCTTTATCCCTGTTGTCCCAACACAACACTCAGAAGTGCCCAGGTCACAAAGTAGACAGTCACCCAAAGCCAAGATTCAGGGTGGCAGGAACAACATGCTTGAATTGGACGATACGTTCCCAGAAAACTGTGGGATAATCACCTGTTGGAAACTGAACCCTACTTTGAATATATGAAGTTAAAAGGCCCTTGAATGGAATCGTTTCATAAAAGGAAAAACAAAAGCCTTAGGCTTATTTATTTCTGAGGCCTGTGCGCCCCTGCCCAGGATGCCGCCAGAACCAGCTTCCAAGCGGGTGCCGGCCCCCATTACCTGCAATGGCCACCGCGGTCCGTCTCTCAGATGCTTTTATTCCTGGGGCCACTTCTCCCAAATCTGAGCGTCTGAAACAATTCCAAAGGAAAACTGTAATGAAAATAATGAAGTAATACCACAACTTGATTCTACCTGTCAAGTTGGCTGCACGTCAGAACCTCTTGGGGGGACTTAAAAACTACAAATCCTGGCCGCGCCCCAGCTCGTGGAAACCAGACCTGGGGGCTGGGCCCAGGCAGCACTGTTTCAAAGAGCTCCCTCAGTGATTCCAACGTGCAGCCACCACAGAGAAGCCCTGGTCGAGAAAAACCAGCCCTCTCTGCAACCGCAGGCCAGAGCACACATCGTCATTCAAAAAGACAGAAAAATATACATACCCTTTGACCAGTAATTCCACTTCTAGCCTAAGGAAATAATTAAGATTTAGTTACAAAGATGTTGATGTTAGCTTTACATATAATAGTGAAAAACTGGATGCCTTTTAAAATCAAAGTCCGATTACAGAGAAGTATGGTACAGTCTTATTCTGTACTCATTAGAAAATACTGTATGGATCACACCTTGTGGACACAGAGACGTTGGACGATGTTACAGAATGACGTGAATGATATATTCATTAGCAGGAGGAAAAGTCAAGTTACAGAACAATATGTGTAGTATGACGTCTCAATAAAATTGTATTTGTGTATTTCCCTACAGGTGTACATAAGGAGATCTAGAAGGATATTCATCAAGAGTAACAGTGTGGGCAGACAGGGCTGGTCCTGAATTCTTTTAAATAGGTTTGGTAAGTGCAGTCCGTTTAAGAATGAACTATTTTAAATATATTATAAAATTGAGTAAATGTGCCGATTTTGTCAGGAGCCAGGGGTTCCACTGGTGAAGAAGGGACACACAAATATGGAAAGAAGAAGCTAGAACAAGAACTCCCAGGGGCGCACAGGAACCAGTGAGGCCAGCGCGACGGCACGATTTCTACACGCGAGCGTGTGGGTACGCGTTTGCATCTATACGCATTCTCTCTCCTAGCTCCATCCACCAAAAGGGCCAAAGATACTCTACGGAGACAGTGAGCGCACCAACCCCCTTCTGTGCCATTCCACACTAAGAGACAACAGGTCTCCTTGGAGGGATGGCCGGGAAAGAACAAGAGAAGTCTGAGCATCTTCAGAAAACAAGGAAGTGCTCAAAAAAATGCTAGGGTAGGTCACAGAACATAGGTGCCATCTTGAAGAGGCTCCTACGGCCAAGTCTGGGACAATCTGAGTGTGAGCATAATAAATACAGTAACTAATGAAAAACCATTGAAAAGCAGGACTGAGTGAGTCCGTGTAGGTATATATAAACAAACTGGGGGAGGGAGGAGGGCTCTTGCTCACAACTATCCGATGAGTCAAGTGCTGCAGCTGGAGTAGTATCATTCTGCGACCATCTCAATCTCAATGAAGACTGGTTCAGGCCAGGGGCACCTGGGGGGCTGAGTCAGTGAGTGTCCCACTTCGGCTCAGGTCATGATCTCAGGGTTTGTGAGTTTGAGACCCATTTTGGGCTCTGGGCTGACAGCTCAGAGCCTGCTTGGGATTCTCTCTCTCCCTTGCTCTCTGCCCCTCCCTCGAGTGCACATGTGCTATTTCTCTCTCGTGTGCGTGCTCTCTCTCTCTCTGTTTCTCTCAAAATGTCTCCCCACAGACTGCTTCTTAGGGGTCAGGGAGAAAAAAAAAAACCTAGTAATTACAACGATGCACACTTGGGCAATACCTGACTGGGTGATCAAATCAGTGACAACATGACAGATGGCCACTGTGTGCCCCAGCCATCGCACCCTGAGAAAGAACACGTCACCAGGCAGTGTTCCGGCTAAGAATGAAAAGTCCTGGTCTAATTGTGGGGGCAAATCCAAAACAGAAAGTCACCTGGAGGGGAGGACTATGTTATCCCAAAGTCACAAAGGACAAAACAAAGGTGGAGGAAACGTTCCAGATTCAGGGTGCTGGAGAGATGTGAAAACAAAATGCAGGACCTGACCCCACACTAGATCCTGAACCGGAGGGAGAGACTTTGGGGTCAACTGACAGAATTGAAATGTGGGCACTATGCGTGTTGAAAGCATGGATGTTGATGACTGAACCACAGCTGTAAGAGAGTATCTCTGCTCTCAGGAAACCCCGAAGGATCTGGTGAGAAAACAGGATGTTGCATGTAGCTGACTCTCTAGTGCGTAAGAAAGATTACGCATGAGTGTACTCATGTGTGTACATAAACACACATGCAGCGAGAGCCAGAGCATGAGAAATGAAAATGGTAAGTGAGCTAAAATATTAAAAACAGCAAACTCTGGATAAAGGGCCTTTCACTTTTATCATTTATCTCTAGGTACAAGTTATTTTAATAAAAAATGTCAAAGTTTATTTTGTTCTATTTACATTCTTTAAGTGAAAGAAGCATGTATTAATAAAACCAAAAGAACTTAAAAATGATGCAATGAGAGGGGTCTGGGCCAGAATAAGATGTGCAGGTGCCCCAGAGAGACCAGACTGCTGTGTCTTCCAGGAGCATGGGGACACTCAACTCCATGTAAGGGACCCTCAGACCATCCAGCCCCCACTAATTCCCCAGCAAACAAGTCACACCCGCAGTCCGGAAGGAGACTCCACGCCGGGTCTCTGGGCGTCTCATCCTCTGCCTGCTGTGAGGAGAGTCCTGGAAACACAACTGTACAGCACAGACTGCTAAGCTCCGCCCCCGATGCTGATAAAAAAATGAGAGTTTTCATTGCTTTTGTAGTAAGAAAAAAAGTAACCTTAAAAATAGACAACAGGACGGGTATAAACTGGCTCCCAGAGTAGAAGCAAGCATGGCCTGGCCGCACACACGCGCCTGAGGTCCAGGCTGGGAGAGGGGAGGACCAAAGGACAGGTGTTTACACTCGGGGGCTCCTCCCACCCACACACGGGCTCCTGGGACAAGAGCTGGACCTCAACCCTTTCCTTCCAACACAAGAAAGCAGGCAACAAAAGTGATATTATCACAGGGATTCTGTCCTGTATTCCTGTCCACAAACTGCACATCTGTATTGTGAACGGAACACAGGGCCCAGCCTGGCAGGGGATCAGAAGCTTGGCTCCGCCTGGCACTTTTTACCTTTCGATCTACTTTCAACGCTTTCACAGTCTCAATTGTGTTCAAAGTCCTTTGCTGAAGCTGTCACCCCCGTGCGACTACATTTGGAGACGAGGTCTGTGCAGAGTGTGATACTGTGATTTAAAAGAATTTATTTGGTTCGTCTCCATTCCTGGCACACAGCTCCTAAAAACCCTTGGGATTTTCTTTGTGAGGTGTAAAGGTGCCTCTTATAATGTTAACGAGTGAGTTTGGGAAAGCACCTGAGGATGGGGGCAGGTGGCCTGGGGACCTAACCACGTGGTTACAGGACTGCAACTTTAAGTTCATGGACAGGAGGGGCTGGAGGTTGGATCAATCACCAGTGGTCAATGAGTTCATCACTCATGCCTGTGTAATGAAGCCTCCAGAAAACCCCGACAGGATGGGGTTGTGAGGGCCTCCAGGTTGGTGAGCACGAGATCTGAGAGGGCAGGGAGACTCCGTGCCCCTCCCCACACACCTGGCTGTGCAGATCCTCTTCTGGCTATTCCCGAATCACTCCTTTTGTAACAAATGGGTAATCTAGTAAGTAACACTTTCCCTGAGTTCTGTGAGTCACTGCAGCAATTAACTGACCCCAAAGAAGGGTCATGGGAACCGGACTCACCCCTAGTCAGCCAGAAGCATAGGAGGCAGCCTGGATTCTCACTGCTGGCATCCTAGGCAGGAGGTGTTCATGGGAGCCCCAAGCTGTAGCCCATGTCACAAGCACGGCAGCGGCCCGGGCCTGCAGCGTGGAAGTGGGGCTGGGGGTGGGGGTTGGAGGGAGGGGTGGTCTTGCATGACAAGACCCTGAACCTGTGGGAGACGCTCGCTGTCTCCAGGCAGACAGAGTCAGCGATGAGCTTAATTTCAGACACCCTGCAGGTGTCTCAGAATTGTTTGCTGGTGTGGACAGAACCCCCCCCCCACCCCCCGCAACATTACAATTAGATCAAGAATTCTGTTTTGGTGGCAATTGCAGTTAAACGAGGTCCTAAGCCTGGGGCTTGTGGAGAGCTGGCTCTCTGTCTGCAGCTTCACAGAAAAGGCCACATGAGGCCACGGCGAGAAGGTGGCTGTCCACAAGCCAGGGAGAGAGGCCTCAGGAGAAACCAACCATGACCACACTGCAGTCAGGGCACCCAGCCTCCAGGACCATGCGACACAAGTCTGTTGCTTCCGGCACCATAAGCACAGCAACGCCATACCCAAAACGTCCTGCGAGGTGGAAACAGCACAGAGGCCTGCCCACCGCCCCCACACCAGCAAACACGGCTGGACCCAAACCTCAGTCCTCTGGCTCCCTCGGGGCTCATCACTTTTAAGACTCAGGTAGATTTTAGGTAATTTAAAACTACAACTAATAATTACAAAAACCCTGAGTACCCGGCCCGGCCTCAGGCACATGCAGCCCAGGAGGCTTTCTGCAGAGCAGGTGTGGGAAATTACTAACATCATCACTATCTTTTTCTGCTTCCCAAAATAGGGGGAATATAAAATATGGAAGAGTACCAAGAAAATGCCTTTGCTCTTTTGAAAATTACTCAACAGATGAACCAATCCCCTCCCCACCGTTAGTATGATTCCATTGCTACAAGCTCATTCTAGCTCCGGCTTCCAGAGGACGACATTCTGTGAGGCTGGGGTCACCTCCCCATTACAGGCCAGAGTGCAAAGCCAAACATGGAAGCCAGCTCAGGTCCTGTGCAGAGGCCCATGGTGGGCGTGGGCTCCTGGCCTCCATGCTGACCAGACCTGGGGCATCTCCCCACAGGGACAAGGGGTGATCTGACCGCCGCCCTGAGGGCCCAGTGCATCTAGCGGTACTTCCTTGCTAAGTCAGTGAGCAGACACTGTGGTCTGCACCCTTCGACGGCTTCCTTTGAGTCCAGCAGGAAAAATGAGGGCCCTGACAACTCCCTGGCCGTGTCTCCTAGGTGATGGGGCACGCCATACTTTCCTTGTCCTTCTTCTTTTTCCAACTGCCCAGAAGATTTACCTGCAGAGGTTTTCTACATCTGGAGAGTCTGATTCTGGAGACCAGGGTGTTCATGCACGCTGACCCACCTCTGACAACGGAGGCCAGTGCACCCCGTCAGAGCTGCACACTTCTCGGGCAGCGGTCTTCAATGCCCAGAATAAATGGTCCAAACCTGGTGAGCAGGGCTAATTCCTAGCAACAAACCCCACTCCTTCACCAGGTGGTGACAATAAAGCAAGATGGCACAGAAAACCATCCCAAGCAGGATATGAGAGAAATACAGGTGCATTTGCTTACTGTAATGCAGCCAGCAGCCTACTATCAATTGCTTTGGATAATAAAGAATCTGCTCAATTTTTGCTGTTTTATGCTGACAACTTGTAAGACCCACCAGTCGCCCTCCTGCCCCACACCTGGGCCAGCTGACAAGTAAGCCTAGGGACTTCTTCCTCTGCCCTGGAGGAGGGGTGGGGGGCCCTCCTCCCATTACCACCCCCAAAACAAAATAAACTTTGAAGCCAGTTGTTCTGCCTAGGAAGCCTCACTAAATTAGTAATAAACCTTTATAAACCAACCTGGTGTGTGTTTAGGGTTGAAATGTGTCCCCCCCCAAGGGGCACCTGGGTGGCTCAGTTGGTTAAGCGACCGGCTTCGGCTCAGGCCATGATCTCATGGTTGGTGAGTTCAAGCCCCATGTCGGGCTCTGTGCTGACAGCTTGGAGCCTGGAGCCTGCTTTGGATTCTATGTCTCCCTCTCTCTCTGCCCCTCCCCTGCTCATGCTCTGTGTCTGTCTCTCAATAATAAATAAACGTTAAAAAAATTTGTTTAATAAAAAAAGAAATGTGTCCCCCAAAAAGGTATGTTCAAGCCCTAACCCCAGTACTGAATGTGGTATTATTTAGAAATAGGGTCTTTGATGGGGCGCCTGGGTGGCTCAGTCGGTTGGGCGACCGACTTCGGCTCAGGTCACGATCTCACGGTCCGCGAGTTCGAGCCCCGCGTCGGGCTCTGGGCTGACAGCTCAGAGCCTGGAGCCTGTTTCGGATTCTGTGTCTCCCTCTCTCTGACCCTCCCCCGTTCATGCTCTGTCTCTCTCTGTCCCAAAAATAAATAAACGTTAAAAAAAAAAAAATTTAAAAAAAAAAAAAAAAAGAAATAGGGTCTTTGCAGATATAATTAGTTAAATTAAGACCAGATCATACTGGGTAGGGTGGGTCCTCTTATTAGGAATGTGTGGTTGGTCCACAGCGAGCAAAACGTGGGCAGGGGAGGCAGAGACCCAGTGCTGTGTCTACAATCCACAGATCACCAGCAGCCACCAAAAGCCAGGGAACAGGGAGGCACCAACCGGGCCCACACCCTCATCCCAGACTCCTGGTGTCCGGAATGGTGGCGGAATACGCTTCTCTCTTCATTGTGGCCCTTGTGACAGCATCCCCAACAGAGTTCATAGAGCACGAGTGTGGCTCCTGACGGCTGGATGCGGCGTTCTCCCCAGTGCGTCCCTTCTCTGCTACTTGCAAGGACACCAGTCATTGGAGGACGGCCCACCAAGCCCAGCATGACCTCATTTTAACTAATCACAGCTGCCAGGAGCCTATTTCCAAAAAATGGTCACATTCACAGCTATGAGGGGTTAGACCTCAACACACGTTTTGGAGGTGACACGATTCAACCTCTAACAACATGCAAGCCACAGGAGAGGCCATCCCAGCTCCACAGGGACCACCCACATTGAAGTGTTCAACTCTCATCATGTTCAGGGGCATGACTGGCTGAGAAAACAGAGGAGCTGGGTCTGTGGCAGCGCCTGGGGGCGGGGACACAAGCGGATGTGGGATATCACAGCACACCCCCTCAGCAGCCCCCCTCCGGGGGCCATAATCATCGCACCCCCAAGTGGAGCAGGAACGGGGCTGCGTGCAACGAGGCTGTGTCCTGGGTTCACTGAGCGAGAGGAAGTGACTCTGAGTCCTCCGAGAGCTCACACAGGAGCCATGTCACACCCCACAAGACACACGGGCTGACCTCTGAGCCAAGGCTGGCTGTCTCCGCCCCACACAGCTCATCAGGGTGCTGTGAGGGTCTGGGGAGGTTTACATGTGGGAAGCAAGTTCATATAAGGCAGTCAATGTTCTCCTGGACTTACCCTCACATTTACTCCCTGCCAGGGACTTCCCTAGGAGTTTCGGATCATTCTGTGAAGGACACAGACATCCTTGCTCTCAGCTGGGGGAGATGGACAAGTAATAACTTTTAAGTAGAAGGCACACTGGAAGATGCCCTGAGGCCTGGGCTGGGGCTGCTGTGGGTAAAAGGGGGTGGGGACTCCCAGAGTGGGGGGGGGGCACAGGAGAGCTCAGGCAGGGCAGGGGGGCCCCAGAGGAGGGGGGGCACAGGAGAGCTCAGGCAGGGCAGGGGGCCCAGGATGAGCGGGAGGGCAGGGTGAGCAGAAGGAGGCAGCAGGACAGGTGAGGCTGAGCTCTTCAGGCCACAGACAAGATCCACTTTTATTCCAGGGGAGGAGGGAGGGGGGAAGTGCTGAGTGTAGGTGGCACGCCTGTCCAGTGACAAAGGTCATACCTGGGTGGTGGCAGCACCAGAGACACTGACACAGGGCTGGACTCAAAGTCTCTGTGAAGGGTTC